AAATGGTTACGAGGTCAGTCCCAGGGACCAACCCTGTGCAGAAAGAGTTAATATCTTCAAAACAAATTAAAACTCCAAGAGTTCTCAAAAGTGTTCTACTTCAAGAGTAAATAAAATCAAAAGTAAAAGTAAGAAATATTTTTATTTCTTGGTTTTGAAGTTCACATGCCATGCTGTGTTGTATCCTACAGAGTGCATGATTCTTCTCATAATTTATAGCATGCGTACATTTCACTAATGTCACTACAGTACAAACTGAAACTTTAAGCATCCCTTATGTAATGTCATTTTAGTGCCTCCTGACTGACAGATAGACAACACACTACAGCATAGTGGTGCGAGTTGCTAAAACAGATGACCCCTCTAGGCAGCCTTTGGCCCCTTTCGAGTAAGATTTCCTTTACTTAGATCCATGTTGGCTATCTTTTGTAGTATCAATTTCTCTGAATAATTTAGCAACAACTTTTATCAGACTCTAGAATTTTTCCCACAACAGAAGAAAGAATATATAGACTATAATTTTTTGGGCATCTCTTCTAACATTGGAAAACTCTCCAATCCTCAGGTACTTGCCCACTGTTTACAGACCAAATAAAAATGAATGGTAGAGGCTTCCAAATCTTATCTTTGTCCTCCTTTAAAACAATGTAGATACTCTTGTTTGGTCCTGCAGATTTATCTGTTTTATTCTCTTTGTCTTCCTATTTACCAACAAAGGATTAATATACCTGTAGTACTGGACAATTCAAATATTTCGTACAGAATTTTCAGGTTCAGGAATACCATGTTAGAATTAATACAGTGGGTGGAAAAGTTAAGCTCATAGAACTTTTTCTTCTTTTTTTTTGCCTCTTCTGGTTGTAGGGGGCATGGTGTACTAAGCTACTAATAAAAATATATAATCAAGTAGAAACTATCACTAATCACCCAGCTCTAATTATTTACATAAAAAACTGATGAAGACATATGCCAATGGAGTAGATCTACATTTCAGTAAGGAATCAGATCAAAAATATGTAACAAATATATAAGAATATCCCTCTTATGAGAGAAAAGCAGACATGACAATATCTATCAGGTGTCACATATTATTGTATGTCAATTAGTAATATATTGTTCCCTCTAATAGCAGCAAAATATGAGAATGTTATGAAAACATCCCCGATTGCCCTACTTTTCATATTTTCTATAAACGGCATTAACTTTTATGAAGACTGAGATACTATATGGCAAAACAAAATCATTACAGGATGAATATCTTACACATGAACAAAATATTAAGTACAAGTAATTGATCCTGCCTGTTGTTTTTTTTTATCAGTATCCTTCTCTCCAGAAAATATTATATGCAGAACAAGTCTTCATAGGGAACTAGTGCTATGCTATACTTTCTGAATTATCATCATGTGAGGATCCAGGAATTTTCATCAAAGTAGAAGTATCCACTTGCTGACCCAAATTTTGACAAGCAAAAACAAAAAAAGGATTAACACTACACTCTTTAAACTGTGGGGTAGTAGAACTATCATTCCAACAAAAACATGCACTCTTCTTCCTGTTTTGTATATACATGCAGCCATATATATAGAAAACAGGAAGAGTGCACAGCCGTCATGTATATGACCTCATAACCATAATTAAAGGGGCATGTAATAAGTATTAAAATATTTTTTTTTAAAACATAGTTTGTCAAAACCATGGAAGTGTGCGAGATGCATTCTCAAAAGCCAACAATATCTAACAGTTGAATAATACTTTGTGGTTAGGTTATATTAGAGGCAGCCACACTTTAAAAAAAATATTTCAAAGGATTTATTTTCCATTCAAAATTCAAAATATGTCAGGGCTTTCTAAGCAATTCATTTTAATAGTAAAAAATGGACATTTGTCAAAATATAATGTGTGTATATTTATAAAAAAGTTCAGCAAAGTTGCAGAATCTTAATCATTCAGCATTAACGATAATAAAAACTCATTTGAGAATGGAGCTCATAGCAGTGATACTGACAATACTAAGAAGTTATTGTTTATAAGTGGTCCTAATTCTGTAAAACTTTCCATAGGCTGCTATGTGCTTGTTTTACCATTACATCCTAAGTATTAACTAATTTGATGATAAGTACTAAGTACACATAATGCCAAGACCAAACAGAGATTTTCCAGTTTTAAGAGTTCAAAGATCAGATACGTTTTTGATAGGTCTATATACATAGACAGATGCCTGATGATCAGAAAATAGTAGTTAAAAGTTGCCAGGAAATTATAGATCAGTTGGTCTTACTTTTATAGAGGGTAGAAATTCTGCAGCCTGATAAAAGAAACTTGATAAAATAATTTGTTGAAATGCACTAAAAATAAGATGTAGAGAAGAGTATAGCATAGGAACAAAGTACATAAGTAGTTTCAAGGGTATGCTAAACTTGTTACCAACATATTGCCAGAAGTATAGGAAATACAACAGACAGCCTTAAAGCACTAACAGGAAAGGGGAATTTTGGTATAATGGGAATATCTGAAACTTTGTTATATGTAGAAAAATTTGGTGACAGCAATTTCTTAGAAATACAATATTAAATGTTACAAAATACTAAAAACAGGGAGGAATTGCTTTATATGTAGAATGTAAGTTACATCCAATCAAATTTGTGGATATCAAACATAATAGCAAAGAAAATGAATCAATCTGGCTTTCTGTCAGTGGACATAACACAATATTTATGGACAACAAGGTACCTTTTGGTGTATCTAAGCTGTCCCATCCACTAAACTTAAAAAAAACTCAATGCCAGCCCTTGTTATTCAAATATTTATCAATCTTTCCCTTAAGCTCCCTTAATTTTACTGCATTCACCACATATAAAGGCAAGCCATTCGAAAGACCAACTACACTTTTAGAAAAACTAAAACTGTTTTAGCTCAAGATGACTACCCTGCTAAAATTTATATCTCCCCTAATCTTACCATTCTCACCAATAAACACAATAAAATGATGCATCAACACTATCAATTCCCTTAAAAGTCTTAAACTCAATCAGATCCCTTCTAATTCTTTTTTTTTAAGAAAAAACAAGATCAGATATCTTAACCTATCCGTTTAAGACAATCTTTCCATCCAAAGTGCCATCTTAGCAGACCTCCTCTGAACCCTTTCCAACAATTCAGTGCCCTTTCTGCAGACACAACTTGGGGGTGTCAGTGATTTTTAAATAATAAAAAAAACAAAAATTTCACACACCATTCAATTCCACAGTCACAAATTGGTAGATTTACAATGTAAGTTAAACTATGTTGTTAATAATTAACAAAAACAATTAAAAATTGTACCTATAAATAGACCTTTAGCTCCACATGACCTTCCCAATCGAACAATGTTAACAAAATGCCAGTGGTTGATATTAAATTATTGCTTTACCTGATAACCTGATACTGCATGACACCTGTGTTAAGGTTAAATTCCATCAATTTCAAACTCATACATGTGGATTCATGTTATATGGATAAATGAAAAGAAAATTGTCAACAAAGAAATATTAAAAATGAAGCACGAGTTTACCTATCCACCTATGAAAGTATAGGAGGGATTTTGTAATCACATTGGTTGTAAACTTGAAATACCATGACTGACAGATACATACCAGTAGTAACCTCCACCCATTCTCCATAGTGTAATGATGTAATTGATATATCATTGGTACCACTTTTATCATAGACTATTGTACCATACATTCTTTCACTCTAGCTACACACAAATTCAGTGTGTATTAGTACTGGAGACATTTTCATGTGTTTTTTAGTGTACAATAATTAGTATTTCATTTATGTGAGATTTATATATATTCACAACTGAGATTTTGCATTAAAATACTCCTGTGGCCAGAAATTATAATTCTCTGAGACCTCTTTATACAACCTGAAATCCTACTTATCTTACCACTAGCAACAGCACATTTCTTGGATCAACAAGAATACCAAGATACTTTTCCTCCATAACACTCTTTGGGTTATTCCTATCAAAAGTACACTTATAATTTAAATTGGAATACTCCACATGCATTACCTTACATTTATTATAAATAAAACCAACTGTCATTTATTTGCACAACTTTTGTGAAGCAGCATCCTCCACACACCAGCAACACCCAAGACATTAATACCATCCACAGATTTAAGTAATTTATTGACCATTCCTTCATCTATATCACATATGTAAATCAAAAATAGCAATGGTCCTAACGTACCCCACTGCCATTAACCAAGTTTGACTAGACTCCATTTAGTGAATTACAACAGCCCCTGCTTTTTCTAACTAGCCACTTTTTATTCCAATGAGCCAAGATTCTGAAAAGACAGGTTAGGTTCAAATTAAGACAGTTTTATCTTTATTACAGCATGATTGGTTCACTGAATAAATTGCCATCAACAGTAGTAAGGGCCATCACTTTACAAATTACAGATGTTTAAAACTAAAAGAGGAATTCATGATTTATAGAAACGTAAAAGGTGGGTTTAAATTTTTATTTTTTCCAAAGTGAGGGTGTGAAAGGATAGCCTTGAATGGCCAAATGATCCTTAGCTGTCTGCAGGTCATGTTAACTACATCATTACATACACATTAATAACTTGGATTGATTAACAGCATAACTGATAATTATGGTACTTTATTGATTACCGTGAAGTTGCTTAACTTTTAAAATCTTAAGGGAAATACCTAACACAATTTCAAAATCAATAATATATTAATAATAGTACTAAACATATTTTCAAAATGGAAGATCACGTTCTCACTTACTTACGAGTCTTAGTCTTAGCTACAACTACAAGTCTTAGGCTTAAGTTATATCATTTAGTACTAGTAGTAATACAAAGCCTGTAACTGTGGACTATTCTTAGTCTATTTTACTTTGTAATTGTAAATTGTAGTCCTACTTACTAAAATGTAAAATGAGTAATGGAGTAAAAGTAGGCTTACGTTCAACAATCGTAACTTATGAATAAGTTACCTTTCTAGACTGTCGTATTTTGTGTTTGGGTTTCGAATGGCCAATATTTTGTAATAAGTAAAATTTTCAGCTTCACACTCACACTGACTCGCAATGTTCAGAACTATTTTTCCTTAATAATTTCAAAATAAAAATTGAAGTAATTTGTTTGAAACATCCTTCACGTTAAGACATTACCAAATATTAGTTCTGTACAACCACAAGAACACTAATAACTTTGGTTTCTCCCTTCCCAAAACACAAGGCCCTTCCACTCCAGATCTAAGTAATTTGCGAAGTTGGCGTTTAGCTTATAATAGGTTAACTTCCTATGTGAAGTCATCACAAGAGTAGAAAGCCAACAAGGCCATGAAAGCGCCATCTGAGGATTTGTTTTAACTTTATATTTTAAACTATTAACATGAGAGAGAGTAAATGCAGCAACTTTTAATATAAATATATAATTATTATAACAATAATCATACTTTAAGTAAACTACATTTGGTGATAAAAAAACTTTTAAAAATTTGATAAAAAATTCTGGTATTTAAATAAATGAAAATAAAATACTTACAAATATTATTACCCAATACATATTAATATTTTATTTGCTTACATGTGGTATGTCACACAATCTTTAGGAGTGTCTATTTTATATTTACAAATTTTGTAATTTTTCTAAAGTTCTAAATCCACAATACTAAATCTATACGATGAAATGTGCCATCTAGCTCTAGATGCTACTTCGTCTGTCATGGTTCAGTCCATAGTTTCATGACGTTTGTTTTTTTTTATTTCGCGCAAAGCTACACGAGGGCTATCTGCGCTAGCCGTTCCTAATTTAGCAGTGCAAGACTAAAGAGAAGACTAATCTTTTATCAACAAATAGTGGGATTGGCCGTAACATTATAACACCCCCACGGCTGAAAGGGTGAGCATGTTTGGTGTGACGGGGATTCGAACCCGCGACCCTCAGATTGCGAGTCGAGCGCCCTAAATATACTAGGTTTTTCTTTTCTTTTTTAAAGGTGTTGTTACGCCTCCAGTCGTTACTTAATTTTTTTTAACTTCGTTCCGACGAAACTTTAGCGACACAAGTCCTTTTTTAAATAAAACTGGTTTATTCTTTCCGAATACAACTTTATGATACACTTAATTTCAACAGTCGCTCTATAACAAACGCTATAACTCACGAGCTCGACTTCAACAATACTCCGTTCAATTACACACTCTCTGACTGCAGTTCAATTACTCATTACCTACACACATTGTCCCGTCACGTTGTGACCATCCTATATATACCAGACTACCCCCAATCTAGTAAATGCTAGGGCATTCACGAAGGTTCGAGAGAAGGAGTGGCGTGATACTAGTAACGTGACCTCGCTGACGCAACAGTGTGTATTTCTTGCTCACCAACATTCAAAAACTTTTAACACTCATACATATAATGGCTGGAAACGGCTTGAGTGGGTAATGAAGCAAAACTTTAATATTGTTACGTCTCCGTTTGTTAATTGATTTTCCGTAACTTCGTTCCGACAAAAATTTAGCGACAGAAGTCCTTACTTAATAAAACTGGTTTATTCTTTCTGAATATAAC